TGAGGATGTAATGAAGGATTTTGGATGTAATGAAGGATTTTGGATGTAATGAAGGATTTTGGATGTAAGGAAGGATTTTGGATGTAAGGAAGGATTTTGGATACAGAGCTGCCAGGCAGGAGGAGGATCAGGGTTAAATGAGGAGCTGGGATGGATGCAGGCATGAGATCCAGCTCAGAGAGATCCCACCTTTTGTCTGGACCTGGACTCCCTGCAGAGAAAGCTGCTTCAATCCAGGATCTGGTTCTTCCAGTCATGATGCAGCGCTGTAGAAAATCAGCCCAAATCTGCTTTTGACTGAGAGAATTACAACTATTCTGTTTGGTCATCAGCTCTTTGATCTTTTTCTTTCCTCATCAGCACATCCTGCTTGTTGCTCACTGAACACAAACTGTTTCTTTTATTCAAAGTTCAAAGTCTTTGTGCAGCCAACATCCAATAACATTAATGCTTAAGACTTGTTTTTTTGTTGTGGGAAACTAAAATACTTTCTACGAAGCAGATTGACAGCCGATGAGAGGGTGAGTGTAATATATTTGTTTAATCCCTGTCCTCAGGGTCCAGGCTCCCCCTGTGCTCCTGCTGCAGGACAGCTTCCTGTGGAGGAGCTGGCAGAGAGGCTCACCCAAAGCGAGCAGCTTGTTGCTCAGCTGAAGGAGATGATCAGGGAACGAGACGCTGCTCTTCGCTCCAAAGATGACCAGCTCAAGGTGTGGCAGCAGATTTAATGTCGTATTCAACAAGGCTGAGCTGTAAAAATGATTGTGAACGTTGAGATTCACCTGATTTAAAATGGACACGGAAACAAACATCAAAGACAAACCCAGTTCTGTTTGTAGATATTTTGATGATGTTTCAGAGAAATACTCAATAAATGTTACTGTCRAACTGAAAAACCTTTGAAGGCCACACATCCACAGCAAACTGAGCTTTGATAAGACAAAAATGTTTCTAACCTCTTCAGCCCCAGTGGGTTTCTTTAAGTTTTTTTCTTTAAACACCATGCTGAAATGTAACTGAGTGTATCTCAGCATTTACAAACTCTACTTAAATAATCCTGTATCAAAATAAAGCTAACACTTGTGAGGTTTCATCAGAAGTTTAAATATTAAAACAGCTGCTGTGGTTTTAGACATATTGAGGATGGAACATAATTTTATTTTTTCCCCTCTCACCTGAATAATGTTTTCATTAGACAGTATATAACCATATAAAACCATAATGAATCAGGCTAAAACTCTTGGAAAC